AGGGTGTCACCATGAGCCCTGTCCAAAGTTAACCTGATCGGCCAGGGTTCTCTGCCTGGAGCCGAACCCGAGAGTATGGAGCTGCTCTTCCTCATTTTTGTGAGTGGAGAACGCCTTATTCTTCGTTACTCGGAAAGACGCCCCTTCTTATAGCACTCTATGCCCCTTGGATGTGCGAAAAATAGTTATGAGGACTCCATGACTCAGGCACAGAAGGTACTATTGTGTCCCCCCAAAACGAGAAAGCTGTATGTTAGTATTTCCCTTCCAGACCACTGTTTTGAAGTATTTTTTTGTACCAAACTGCTTTTGCCCAATTATAATTCATTTTCTTAAAAAAAAGAGAGAAAATTATTCCAAAGTACAAGGTTGGTAATAAAGTTCGGTGATACTGTCTACTTTTTCATATATTTAAAATCTGCATAGAAAAGCTTGGAAACCCTGGTGGCATAGTGGTTAAGAGCTAAGTCTGCTAACCAAAAAGTTGGTAGTTCAAATCCACCAGGCTGTCCTTGAAAACTCTATGGGGCAGTTCTACTCTGATCTATCTAAAGGGTCGCTATGAGTCCGACTGGACGGCAATGGGTTTGCTGTTTTTTGTTTAGAAAGGATTAAAGGCCTAATTAGAGTTTTTCAGTTTGCAGGAGATAAACGTTATTACCAGTCCTGGTCCCTTATGTACATTACCAAATCCAAAAAAAAAATTTTGTAAACCAGTGGTTTTTTTTGGTAATTATCTGATGGCAAAACATGACCTAACCTCATTTGGCAGCAAAACCTGACCTGAGCGGATGAGAGGCTTTTTATGGTGTTTATTATCCCACTTAGCCCTGGTGGTTCAGTGGTTAAGCACTTGGCTGCTAACGAAAAGGTCAGCAATTCGAATCCACCAGCCACTCCTTGCAAACCCTATGGAGCAGTTCTACTCCTGTCTTGTAGGATCTCTCTGAGTCAGAATTGACTTGACAGTAACGGGTTTGGTTTTTTTTTTTTTTAGTTTATTATCCTGCTTAAGGAGCCCTGATGGGGCAGTGGTTAAGTGCTTGGCTGCTAAAGAGAAAGGTCAGCCTGTTGAATCTACCTGTCACTCCCTGGGAGAAAGATGTGGCAATCACTTCTGCTTCTGTAAAGATTACAGTCTTGGAAACCCTATAGGGCAGTTGTACTCTATTTTATGGGGTCACTGAGTTGGAATCTATTCCATGGTAATGAATTTTATCAACGAATTAGCCCAATTTAGTATCAGTCCAAAGGTTTTAAGTTATATAAAGATCTTGAAAATTATCTTTAAGTCTGTATACCACAAAACAATTACTATTAAAATTTGTTTAAATATTCTAAATTTTTATCCAAATTTTCATAATTTTCCATATTTTTCAATCTAACTTTAGCCCTTTTAAGATTTTATCAACTGGTTTTGGACTCAAAGTCTCTATTCGAACGGACCACCATAGTGATGGAACCATTTCCCAAAGCAATTTTGGTGTTTTTTTTTTTCCTATTCCTATTTTTTTTTTTTTTAATTCTACTTCAGGTGAAGGTTTACAGAACAAATAGTTTCTCATGAAACAGTAGTACACATATTGTTTTTGATATTGGTTAACAACCCCATGATGTGTCAACCCTCTCCCTTCTCGACCTTTTTTTTGGTGAAAACATACATAGCCAAAGATACACCATTTCAAAAATTTCTGCATGCACAGTTCAGTGACATCGACTACGCTCTTCCGATTGTGGTGCTATTCTCACTTTAGATGAAGGTTTACAGAACAAAATAGTTTTTCATTAAATAGTACACATGTTGCCCTATGACAATGGTTAACAACCTCACATCAACACTATCCTTACTCAGACTTGGGTTCCCTATCACCAGCTTTTCTGTCCCCTTCTGCCTTCTAGCCCTTGTCTCTGTACTGCTGTGCCTCATTAGTCCCATTTGGTTTTATGGGGCTGTCCACTCCCTGGCTGAATGGTGAACCTCGGAAGTAACTTCACCACTGAGCTGAAAGGGTATCTGGGGGCCATTCTCGCGGGGTTTCTCCAGTCTTCTTTAGGCCAGTAAATCTGGTCTTTTTTTTTGTAAGTTAGAATTTTGTTCTCATCCTTCTCCAGCTCTGTCCAGAACCCTCTGTTGCGATCCTGGTCAGAGCAGTTGGTGGTAGCCAGGCACCGTCCAGCTGTACTGGCCTCAGTCTGGTGGAGGCCTTGGTAGCTGTGGTCCATTAGTCCTTTGTACTGATCTTTTCCTTGTATCCTGTTCTCTTCATTCTCCCTTGCTCCC